TAAAAAAAGTGAAATAATATATAAATTATTAAATTATTAATTTGAATAATTTAATTCATTAATTTCTATTTAAAATATATTACAATAAATTATATTTATGTTATATTATTTAATATATCAGTAATTAGTAAGTAGATAATTGATATGAATATTTATATTTATAATTTTTATAATTAATTATTTAGTTGATAAAAAAATTCCTCATTAATTTCAATGACTTTATAATATAAAGATTATTTTATTAAAGATATTTTGAATAAGATTTTTCTGAATATATATCTATCGGTGACTTTAATTTTCAAATTATGCAAAATTATTTTTCATATATATATATATGTATTGAATCGACTAATTTAGATAAAATTTAGTTATTCATACAATACGTGATATTTATTCTGTAACATATCAATATGCATTTTGCATAAAAACACCATTTATCTTAACAAATAATATATTTTGATTATATAAGAAAAAAAGAACATTTCATCTTATTTACTATGAAAAGTATTTTTACTTATAATTCAAAAATAAAAACCAATCAATATAGGATATTAATATATTCATAAGACATCTTTGGAAATTCTAGAATCCAAAACTAACACAAAAAGACTATATAATCTATCTATATTCTACTTCCATCTTATTTCACTTAATGCAAATTTAAACTGATTATAAATAAATCTCAATCAATATTTTTGTATACCGAAATTTTTATTAATTATTTAAAAATTTTAAATTTTTATTAATTAACTTGTAGAAAATATTATTAAAATCGAATTAACCATATATATTTCAATATTATTAATGAGAATAAAATTAATGAGAATATAACTTTCCAATAAGTTATCCAAAAATCTTATTAAAGTTTGAGGCTTCATATGTAATCAATAAAAAATAAATCCGTAAAAAATCCCTATATACTAATAAATAATAAGAAATAATGTTTATATATTAATACATATGTGAAAGATCATTAATCACAAATCAAATTTTTTTTAATTAATCAGCCGAACAATTAAAAAGATGTTTTTAATTAGTTACTTAAACAATTAATTTTAAATTTAATTAATATTGAAAGAAAAAAATTTATATAAAATTCGCACCGAAATTAAATTTATATTGAATGTATATTCATAATAAACATTTAAAAATATCTGCATTATAATATAATAATTTAAATATATTTAAATATAATAATTGTCTTGAAAAATTAAGAAATGCGAACACAATTTATATTTAGTTTAAAATCATAATAATAAAATTCAAATTGATTTGAAGTAAAATTCAATAAAAATATGAATTTATTATCTTCTAAAATTATTAAATTATTTTAGAATTAAATTGATTATTTACACTGTACTGTATTCCACCATTCACAACGCTTTTTCGCATTACTGAATGCTGTACCTGAAGGACAAAGCGACGAAGTTTTAGACCAACCAGAACAATTGTGAAAAACCTAAAATTAAAAAATATGATAATTCATATTCTAATGCAAAAATGTATTGTAAAATAAAATATATAATAAAAATAAAATGTTTGAAATGAAGAATACAGAAAAATATATAATATATATTTAATATATATATACGTACTTGACAATTAGTTTCAATATCAGCAAACATGCCTTTCCTACCATCACAAGTGAAATCAGTTTCTGGAATTTTGGTAAGATTTGGATAGCGGAAAATTATATTGCCAGTATTCATTTTAATGTTCTGATATGATATTGCTTTGGTATTTAATTCAATATTTTTCATATTTGATTTCCAAAATTGAGGAGAAAAATTTTGATTCCTTCTTATAGAATGAGATTCTATGTGTCTTGAAAATCGTTCATGAAACTTATTTAAAAATCCTTGATAATCAGTAATAATCTAAAAATAAATTCAAATATTAATTTATATTTGTGTTAACATTTGCAATACTCTATTTAATTATTTTTAATTATTTTCATAACCAAATTATGAATTTGTATAATTTGTATAATTTCTTACTTATGTAAAAAATATAAAAATACATTTTTTTGTTTGATAATTTGATTAATTAAAAAAAATTAATTAAAAAATATGAAATATATTATTAATAAAAAGTATTAAAACGAGATATTATAACCAATTAAATTTTATATATTATTTTAATTACATGTATTTATAATGTTAAATATCACAGATCGATGATAATTGTATAAAATGTTAAATATGATAATTTTAATATTTTAAAATTTATGATTAATTTTTAGATTTGTAATTATTCTTAGATAATAGTCTGTTATTTTTCACTCTATGCAGTATAGTATTTATATGTATTATTGTATAAAATTAAATTTATATATTGTATAAAATTAAATTATTATTTTTATTAATTATTATTTTTATTAATTATTATTATTAATTTTATTTGCTATTTATTTAATTGAGATTAAT